CCAAGAACCAGCAGTTCAACGAGTCCGGGTTCTCGCTAGCACAGCAAGTGATAGGGGAGGTCCCAGCAGTTGCCGTGTGGACTGCTTAGCGAGCGCGGGAGCTCCCAGCTCGCGGTGCACCATGCTGTGGACAGCGATCCCTACATGACAAAACGCTTGCAGGTCTACAGCGCGGCGAAGGTAGCCCTGGAAAAGCTGGACACCAGCGAGCAGCGAGCGACTGCGTCGAGGTCTGGTTGCTCGCAGTCGTCGAATGCCGCCCAGCTCGAGCGTGAAGCTCGGCGACGTGGTCTACTTCTATCGCGAGGGCAAGCGCGAGAACAGGCGGCGGAAGGGCTCAGCCTTGACCTTCAAGGCCTGGCATGGCCCAGCTGTGGTCATCGGCATCGAGCCGGCGGCCATCTACGTCTCGTACGAGGGGCTGTCGGCCGAGCGCGACCCGGCGGCTGTCCGACGCGCGTCGTGTGACGAGGCGCTGGGCATCAGCGCCAGGGAGAAGCTGGCCATCATGGAGAAGGCGCTGCTCGACGCGTAAGGTTGAAGGGGCCCCAGGACACACAAATAAATACACACACATAAATTCCCCATATGTTTTCATATTTTCTGGGTTTTTGCCTTCCCCCCACTTCCCATATTTCCCCATATTTCTAGGGAATCGAGGATTCATTGTGTCTGTGTGTTTTTTTTTTCCGACATGGAGGACGCGACGAAGGCGCACGAGGAGGAGCTCGCAGAGCAAGACGAGGAAGACGGACCTCAGGCGCCGGAGGCGGACGCTCGACCATCTCAGGCTGAGGAGGCCACAGAGGACCACGAAGAGCAGAAGGAGCAGCAACCCTTACCAGCCTCGAACTTATCCCTAAGACCGACACGCCAAAAGGCGATGACAATCTTAGGGATTCGCCCTCAAAAAACTAGGGAATCCCTAAGATCGGCATCGTGATGAGGAGATGCCCAGCATAGGGATAGGGATATGTTCCAGGCTGGTAAAACCCCTCTCTGGGGAGATCAGCGCGGCCTGTATGGCTGCTGCTGCTCCCGGTGCTGGTGATGCGGGCAGTGGCGAGTCCGACCCCCGACCCAGTCTCGAAGGAAGAATTCTCGAGGAAGACGAGCTCCCAACAGACCGGGAAGACGGACTTCCTGCGCGAGGTGGCGACGCGGCTTCGCGAACAAGGAAATGACCCAGATAAGTCGAAGGCACTGCGCGTGGCCAAGACCATCCAGAAGCGCACCAGTGAGCTGAAGGAGAAGTTCCGATCTATGGAGACGAGAACCCCAATGGTGCCTAATGTGATTCCCGAGGGCCAGTTCAGACCCTAGGGCAACTTCGCACCGACCACGCCGCCTATTCAGGATGCAGAGCTGGCGCAGGACACGTTGGAGGAATCGTCCCAGCAAGGACAGGAGGAACCGCATCAACAAGAACAGAAGCGTGACGCAGAAGAGGCGGAGCTACCAGAAACACCACCTCGAGGAGGGCGTGATGGACCACCAAAGCCCAGGCTCGCGGACGACGTGCTGTGGGTCAGGAGCGCGACGAAAAGGGTCGCTACCTGGCTCAAGAAGGCCCCCGAGGTCGACTGGTGAAGGATTCTGGACCGCCTGGGGACGGTGGAGCGGACCGACCCGAGGTTCAAGGCGATGCTCGTGCAGGGGCAAGCTCTGAAGGAGAGTATGGATCCGCCGACGAAGGCAAATTATGAGGAAGCAGCGGCGGCACAGAGGGCCAAGTGGATCGACACTGAGTCCGTGGAGGTGCTGTTGGAGAAGGGGTCCGCTGAGCTCGAGGATTTGATGAAGCGCGAAGGCAAGGGCGACTACATCATGAGCACGCGGTGGGTGCTGACGGACCAGAACGACCCGCTCCAGACGGACAAGAAACGACCTGCCGATGAAGGCGAATGCGAGGCTCGTGGTCAACCGCGGCGACCCTGGACGATCTGACGAGAAGTCAACGTGCGAAAGGACGCCCCATGTGCGACTACCCAGTCGGAGATGATCCTGACGCAAGCGGCGGCGCCACATCCAGAGTGGAAGTTCCGCTCCGAGGGTGTGAGTGGCGCCTTCCTGAAAGGCAAGGTGGACGAGGGAGACCTGGTGATGCGTGTGCCCAACCGTGGACCTGCTCCAGCCGACCTTCCACGTAGGAAGACTGGCACGAGTTCGGAATGGTGTGTTCGGTCTACCTGCGGCGCCGAGGCTGTGGCACCTGAAGGTGCTGTCGGCGGCTCGCAAGTTGGGCCCTGAGGCTTCGCGATCGGATCCCGCCTTCTTGGTGCTGCACGACCTGAGGGTGGAGAAGCGAGGTCCGGACAGTCTGTTGTGGGGCTGTGTCTGCGTTCGCGTGGACGATTTCCTCGGGACGGGGAACGACAAGATGGCGAAAGTGATGGACGCGCTGGGCAAAAACTTCGGCTTCGCCATCTAGGAATATGATGATTCCGTGTTCTGCGGCCGACGCTTCAAGCGACAACCTGGTGGAATCATTCACACCGACATGATAGAATATGCGGCCGGACTGGAGCCTGTGACTGTGCCCATGAGTCGGCGCGGAGCAGCACACCCGCCGATGAACGCGATGGAGTGGAAGCAACACCAGCAGGTTGTCGGCAAGATCAACTGGGTCGTGACGAAGCTGAGGGTATACTGCGCATATGACCTGGCGGTGCTGCAATGCGAGAAGGGCCGCAAGAAGGGCCCGAGGGTCTCGGCACTCATCAAGGCGAACCAGGTGCTGAGGGAGCCTGAAGCGCGACGCGACCTTCAAGATCGTGATGAAGCCGATCGACTTCAAGAAGTTCGGCCTGGTGGTGGTGTCCGACAGCTCGCTAGGGAACGTGGTGAAGGACGGTACGGCGTTGCAGCCGGACCCAACGACGGAGAAGGTCGGCACCCAGGGCGGCTACCTGATATTGTTCGCGGACCGGGAGCTCGTGGACGGTGGTATCGGCCGTTTCTCGCTGGCGGAAGGGAACAGTCACGAGTTCAAGCGTGCGGCGGAAGGCTCCTGCGCGGCGGGGGTGACCTCTGTGGGGGATGCCGTGGACATGGTTCAGAGAGTGCGCCACCAACTCGAAGAGATGCTGTACGGCCCCCTGGCAAGGGGCGCTGGGATGAAGCTATCGGGCTGGTAGATCCCGATGACGATAGTGACGGATTCGAAGGACGGCCATGACAAGCTCAACTCGGACGCGGGTGTGGGCAGCTCAGCACAGAAATCGGTGAATCTGGAGTTGGCGAGCATCCGTGAGATCTTAGACAGGCCGCAGACGACAGTCAGATGGACGGACGGCACCAACATGTTGAGCGATATGCTGACGAAGGACATGCCGGCGGACCACCTTCGAGAAGCCCTGGCACAAGGCACGTGGAGTATCGAGTTCCGAGAGGAGATGGCGAAGACGGCGAGACGTGATGCTCGAGAGCGCTGGGACGCGCGGGTGCGAGAACTGGCAAATGACGGAAAGTTCGCGCCTGGAGCGCTAACATGACAAGTGATGAAGACCTCCATTATAGTTCTTCCCTCTCAGATGCTGTGCCGAGGCAGGTCGTAATTTTACACGCTCGCGTTTCAGTCATCCGCTGATCCGGCGTGTGAGGTTGAACAAGTCTTAGCTACAGCCTACAGCCTAGAGCCTAAGCTTCAGCTCTGCTGGGGCGGGGGGGCCAGGGGGGCTCTGCCAGGGAAGGGGGGCTGGGGGGGGGACGAGTTGTGGTCCTCTTTCCGGGTGGGGGTTTTCCGGGCCCACGAGGGCCCCAATACGGGCCAAGACGGCCCCAAGATCCCCCAAGACGGCCCCAGAAGCGCCCGAGTCGCCCAAAGAGCGCTAAAGACGCCGAAGATGACCTCCAGACGGCCCAAGAGGCCGCCGAGCCGCTCCAAGAAGCCTCCAAGAGCCCTCAGAAGAGGACCCTTAGAGGCCAAAATCATAAAAAATACTATGTTTTTGGAAGGATTCCGGCCATCCCACCGTTTCGGCTTCCCGACGCTCCGAGACGGCCCCAGAGGCCCCCAAGATCGCCACAAGACGGCCCAGGAGGCTCCCAAAATGGCCCCAAGACGGCCCAAGAGAGCCCCAAGTCTGCCCAAGAGATCCCTAAGACGGCCCCAGAGGCTCTCAAGACGGCTCCAAGAGGGGAGCCAGACTGGGAACCCGAACGGAAATTTCGAGCCCTCGGCCTCCAGAAGAGGCTCCCAAGAGGCCCCCAAGAGGGTCACAAGAGGTCACAAGAGGCCCCCAAGAGGCCCCTAGCAGGACCCAAGGGACCCAGAAGATGCCCTCAAGAGGCCCAAAGAGGCCCCGAGGGTCCCCACAACGGCCCCCAGGATAGCTCAAACAAAAGTGTACCCATGAGGCCCCCGAGAGACCTCCCACGAGATTCCAACGAACACTGAAGAGCCCTCTGACACCACTCAGGCACGGCGGCATTGGCCGAAGGCCACTACATAATCGTAAACGTCATCGTCATCGTCATCATCATCATCATCATCATCAGCCTCCTCTTCGTCGTCCTCCTCCTCCTCGTCCTCCTCTTTCCCCCGTCGTCGTCGTCATCGTCGTCGAAAACCGTCGTCGTTAACCCGTTCGTCGGTCGTCGTAATGATCCCACTCGTCGACCGTTGGTCGTCCGTTGTCGTCGGCATCGTCCAAAGCGCCCAGGATCGGCGGCACTGGCCGGGGGCCACCACAATATTAACGACATTCCCCCCCCCCTCGGAACACGATTATCCGATAGGGCTGTTGAGCCCGATACATTTTTTGCTGCGAGAGATTGTGAGACAGAATTTGCTGCAGGTGCTTTCTTGTTGAGAGTTCTTGACAGTTTTAAATGAAAAGGCTCGCTCACACGCTGGGATTTCACGATCGCAAACGGCCACTGCGATCCCTTGTATTTCTAGGAACTGTTTTCGTTTGCTCAAATTGCGGCGGGGACAAATCCACAAAAATGAAAAATCCGTGTCGTAAGAATTCTGATTGAGATGGATTATCTCCCCTGCCCCGTCTCAATACTCACTATGTCTGCTTTTCTGATGCTCTCTATCCTCTCTCGCCTGCTGCTGCCGGCTCGGCCCGAGCCGGTTTGATATAACTTGGCCACTGGAGCGGTGGTCCGGGAGAAAAGGCGCCCTACCTCGATCCCTGCCGGGATCCACCGCCGTTCCCGCTGCTGCTGCGGGCCGGGAGGTAGGTCGACGGAGGCTACCCCGTACCGCAATAAGCTTGTGCCGACAAAGAGGTAGTACTCTGGGAAGAACTTGCAGGAACTGCCCACTCGCCAGATCTCTTGAGACATGGAGCTTGAGTGAACGGCGCACGCATGCAGCTGTGCGAACCAGAAGCCGCCCAGAGAAGCATGGGAAGACGTCTGAGGCTTGAGGATAAATCGCGAGCATCCGCTGGCAAGTGGCGCCGTTAGGGCCTAAATGTCAGAGCGACTCGTGATGCAGGCTCAAGCGGAATCAGCCTGTGGTTGCCCCTAAACTCGAAAACAATCTCACGCGGTGGAGGTTGACCTTGCACGGCTGCCGGAGCCGCAGCTGCCCTCACCACGGCGGACCAAAACTAAATTCCTTTGGGATCGATTTGCAAGTCGGCCTCTCCGATCATAATGACACCTTCGTGTTCACGAAGGCGCGTTCGCCTCGATCGTCTCCGGAATCGTCGGAATCGTTGCCATCCTCCCTGCTGCGCCTCTGCTTCCTCGGCGACGTCGGCGGTACAAGCGGCCTCGGGGGCGAGGCCGACTCTGTCCGCGGCTCGTGCGAGGTCTGGGCCTGCGGGCGTGACAGCGCGATGCAGGCGGCCTCGACCATCTCCGCCGCCGTGGCGCCGTTCTTCGCCTTCATCACCACCCACTTCTCCATCACCATCCGCTGCTTCCGCCGCGCCGCCGACTTGGACTTGGGCACCCGGGGCTGCGCCGAGGCGGCGCCCCCCAGGCTGGCCGCCTCGCTGGGGATGAACTCGGGGATGTTCGGATTGCGGTCCGAAAACGACGGGAATCCGTCGTCTGGGCCCGGTGGGACCGGTCGGGCCGCCGCGCTGGGGGCGGAGGGTGCCCAACCGCTGGGCTTGCCGCCCGCGCCCGGCGGCTGCGACGGCCACGTTCCGTTCGCCCTGGCGGCTGTCGCGGGCGCGGTGCCCCACAACTCCTCCGACAGGTCCGCCCAGCTCCGGCTCTCGGAGCTGGCCCCGCTGGAAGTCCAGCTCCAGCTCCAGCTGCTCTCGTTGTCCTGGCTGTCCTGGCCCTCAAGCTGCCCGGCATCGCTCAGCCCGCTGCTGGCGCTGGGGCGGTAACTTGCGTCGGCGGTGGTGGACGAATCCCCCGCCGGCAGCTGGTGCATCAGCGGGCAGTCTCCGCCCCGCTGGCACAAGCCCGCCTGGAACGCCCTGCAGAAATGGCCCGGGACGGGGGGCATGCTGCCAGCCTCACTGTCTGGCTGGTCGAGGGAGGCGCATGAACCCCAAAGTAGCTCGAGCCAGGCTGGTCATGGGTTGGGAGGCTCTCGGCGGCCACGCTAGGTCCCTCTCAGGAGCTCTTGGGGCGTCTCCGAGGCTTTAGTGCATCACTGGATCTTCTCGAGGCCATAGTAGGGCACTCTTTGATATTGACTTTTACAAACCTCTGGAACTTTCTCGAGGCACCCGTGGGCCATCGTGTAGGCCTGCTGGTGGTCACTAAGAGGGGCGCTTGAAAGCCATCCAGAGGCGTCCCTGGGCGTCTTGGGGCCCTGCAGGGAGGCTGCACTAGCCCTCCAAGTCCTTCAAAACGTATCCCAGACCCACGGGACCCCTGGCGGGCCCTTGGCATAGGACCTAGGCAACCCATTACCCCCCGACCCCTTCCTTTCGTGCGTTCGTTTGTGGTTGTTGGCTCTCGCCCCCCAGTCCCCTGACACTGGAATGCCTCTCTCTGACCCTGGACAAGGGAGGAGCGGGCCGTGGCGAGAGGGTGGCATGCCGGGGGCAGGGAAGGGTGGGCGAGACCGAGCAACCAAAAACGGCCAACTGAAAATAAAAGGTTGAGGGTCAATGGGGATGGCCAAGGCCAGGGGAATCTCACATTGATTTCGAGGCAATTGATACAGAGGCGCGGCGTACCCTTGGGGCCCTAAATTAACTAGCGCCCCCTCAATAACGGCTTGTCGCGCAATGCCCCAAGGATAAGTCAGACCTCATGGATGGCAAATGCGCCCCTCAGCTCTCGCATCATAAGGATCTATCTAAGCCGCTCGAGGCGACAAAGTTCCTTTGCCCCAGCGCCTTCCTTTGCTTCGGGGCATAGGAACTCGTATGGCTGCTGATGCAGATTACTCCCCCCTCCTCCCCCTGATTCTCCTCGGATTGATCCTCCTCTGGACGCTGATGCGGGTTATGATCTCGCCGTTGCTTCTGCTCCTGCTGCTGCTGCTGCTGCTCGTCTTCGTGAAGCCATGCAGCAGGCAGTCCAGGCAAAGCCATCCAAACTAGCTCGGCCAACCAAATCACGAAACCAGGCAGAGCTTGCAAACGTAGCCCATCGACCAACCAACCAAAACCAACGAACCAACCAGACCAGACCAATCAGACCAGACCAAGCGAACCAGGCAAACTATTCGACGAACCAGACCAGACCAGACCAAGACCAGCCAAGGACACATAACCAATCGAACCAGCCAGACCAGAGAAGGAAGCTGCACGACCACACCAATGAGACCTACAACCCACGATGGGATCCGAAATGGTTCTGCCGACCAGACCAAGCAGACCAATCGGACGAACCAAATCAACCAGACCCAGCGGAGCAACTAGGCCAAACCAAGCAAGCCAAACAATCCTGCATATAAAACCACTCAGCCCACACCAACCGCGCCAAACAAATCAGCCATACAATTCAGACCGACAAAGCAACACAAACCAAAGAAACCGAACCAGACGAGACCAGACAACAAACTCAAAATAGTCGTGCCACAAACACTGCAGTACACCACCACATCCCGTGCAAAAGCACATGCAATGCGACAGAATATGTGTTGCCGTGGCCGTGGGTGGCGCTGAGCACTTCGCACATCCCTGGACCTCTAAAGCTGTAATGCAAGCACACCAATGTAGACAACATCTGCAGCGCAAACGTGTTGGTAATTGTCGTAGACATGTGCACTTCAGCCCTTCCTGAACCTCCGCAAACCACGCTCGCCTCGCACGCTGAATTCTAAGCTGAAGCTCTAACAGCGGCACTACAGCGCAAGCTGAAACAACTGCAATGCGTAGAGCAACGAAACATGCAATGCAACAAGACACTGCCGTTCGGTGGTCGGTCAACATGTGCGCTTCAATCCTCCTTGCCCCGCCATGCGCTGCATGACTAAGAAATGTGTCCCCCACATGTGTCGGGGGGTCATGGTGTCCTTCCCTGCCGGGTCGCACCCGCGTTTCTCGTTCTCGTTCTCCTTCTTATTCCGACAGCCCTAGAAGACAAACGTCTGCGGCGTCCACACGTGCACGAGAGACACAGCCGAATCTCGCCCGCAAGACCTGGCAACACTGCACTCGCCCGAAGGAACGAGTAGCACATGAAACAAGGACCCTAGACGGGAAGCGCAACCCCAACACACATGGGGGCGCCAGCAGCCATGACGAGAAGCGCAACCCAACGGACGACGTGGGGCGCAAGGAATGGCGCATGGGGGCACAAGAATGGATGCACTAGGCGAACCAAGAACGCAGCTAAGCGCCACTCACTGCTAGACGATCTCAGGACTCCTGGCGGCCGCGTGGCAGTACATCTTGTCGAAGGCTGTCTTGTCGCTGAGTAACGGTAGGAAGACAGCGGCCACCCCAGGCTGCCCTTCTTGAGCAGCGAGGTCGTACAATATCTGGAACACCTGGTCGTTAGCAACTGGGTCCGCACGTTGGCGCTCGAAAGCGGCCTTTTGGAACGCCATGCCGAGAAACTTTTTTCGTATGGGAGCCGATAGCTCAAGACCAGATGCCTTGACACGAATGGCCTCCGCACCAGTCTTAAAGACCCAGCGGTCAGCAGCGTCGTCGTAGAAGCTCAGGGTGCCTTCACGACCATTTAGCAGCGGCCTAGCCTTGAGGCCAACAAGGCGCGCGGCCATGCCTGGAACGAATGTGTGCTTCTCGCCGTGCTGCTGAGGAACAGTGGCCTTTCCGCGCCGCTGGGGCCTCACCACATCAATATCAGCCTCCGCCTTGGCACAGGGTTCGCTCTCCATCGCCGCAGAGCCCGAGCCAGTCGCGCCACCTTCGCCAGGAAGCTGCACGCTGGACGACTCACCCTTCTCGTGCGCCAGGACTGGCCCGATGGACTCGGCGTGCGTCTGGCGCTCGGAGCCCTCCTGCACCGCAGAACGCATGTCCGGCGGCGTATCAGAGAAGCCTCCGAAGAAAACCGGAAGGGGCTTCACGACAAGACGGATGCGGGACTCGCCTTTGGAGTTCTTGTGCCCGTGGTCCACGATACTAGCGTTGTCGATGTCCAGCTGCGCCATGTGGAGCAAACTAAACATGCGGCTGTTCCGCATAGTCGGCTCCCAGACGGGGAACAGGCAGATCTGCATGATCAGCTCGTCGCTGTGGCTGCGCAGTTCGACGACACCTTGGCGGCCATTCGCTAGCTCCTGGGTGATCCAATGGAGCCTGGCTGCTGAGACCATGGCGGCGCGGGGGGCAAGGGGGGAGAACAGCGGCTCGCAAGTGCAAGCGAATGGCCCCTCCTCAGGCAGACGCCTGAGCCACATGGGGCTTTCTCGTTCTCCTCATCCTCCTCCTCCCCACCCTTTTACTTCTCCGTCTCGCTCGCACTTGCAAGCCGCCGTGGCAGACGTGGCCCCGCACGCATCAAACACATGCACATGAAACGCCATGCACAAAAGACATATGTCGCAGGGCCTAGCAAGCGTGGCATTTGTTCAACCCCAGGGAGGGTGCGCAGGGGGTAGTCTCGCATCGCGGCCTCTATACGCGCCAGCGTCGCAAGGCCTAGCAGCGTGGCACTTTCTCGACGCCAGAAGGGGATGCGCAGGGGGTGGTCTCTCACCGCGGTCTCTATACGCGCCAATGGCGTGTGGCCTAGCAAGCGTGGCACTTTCGCGACGCCACGGGGAGTGCGCAGGGGCGGTCTCTCACCGCGGTCTAGCTGGCGCGGCACTTTCTCGACACCATACGGGGAGCGCAATGGAAGGTCCCTCACCGCGGTCTCTATACGCGTCAATGCCGCAGGGCCTAGCAGGCGTGGCACTTGTTCGACGTCAGAGGGGGTGCGCAGGGGTGGTCTCTCACCGACGTCTCTATACGCGCCAATATCGCAGGGCCTAGCAGGCGTGGCACTCTCGACGTCAGAGGAGGGGCGCAAATGGGGGAGGGGGTTCTCACCGCGGGCTCTATACGCGCCAGTGCCGCAGGGCCTAGCAGGCGTTGCACTTTTTCAGTGCCAAGTGGGGTGCGCAAGTGGGGTCTCTCACCGCAGTCTCTATACGCGCCAGTGCCGCAGGGCCTAGCAGGCGTTGCACTTTTTCGGCGCCACAGGGGGCGCGCAAGGGGTAAGTAGTCTCTGTACGCGCCAATGCCGCAGGGCCTAGCAGGCGTGGCACTCTCTCGAAGCCAGAGGGGGTGCGCAGGGGGCGGTCTCTCTCCGACGTCTCTATGCGCGCCAAATGTTAGGTGTACAAAGTCAGAGCCATAGTTTAGTCATTTTTGTGTGTGTCTGTGTGGCTTTTGTGTCTTTTTGTTTTTTATATATGTTCCGTCCGTTGTTTGTTTTGTGTGTTGTTTGTGCTTTTGCTGTGTTTTTTGTGTGTTGGTTTGTGTTTTTTGTGTTTCTTTTTGTGCGGGAGGAATCTGCCGCGGTCGATCGCCCAGGAGGGTTCGACTGCCGCCCCGGCGCGGATCGCCCCCGCCAAGGTTCCCTTAAAAGGGGGAGCTTAGGCGTGGGCTTTTCCCGTAGGCGCCCCCGCTCGCCTGGGAGGGCGCGGGGGGTCCTGGATCGCCTGGGGGGGGTTCCAGGACGGGCCGACTCGCCCTGGGGGAGGTCGGTCCGAGCGGTGGAATCGCCCGGGGAGGTCTCCGCCACTCAGTGCCTGCACGAGTCGCCCGGGGTGGTCTCGCGCGGGAACAGCCCTCGCGCATCGCCCAAGGGGGTCCCACGGGGGCGAGGTAGCCCGGGGGGGCGCCTGGGAGGACAGTGCACGGCGCGAAGAGTTCCCGCAAATCTTTCGCGGGACTCTCGCGAATTCGTCGCGGGGGGCCCGGACTCTCGCGATTTTTTAGCGGGAGGCGTAACGGTCTGGACAGTCGCGCAGGGGGGGGGGAGGGGCGCAGAATAGAGGAGGGGAGGTCCGATGCCAAAGCCTCGAGGGCCACCTCCGGAGCCAAGCGAATGACGGACAATTGGAGCAGGGAGCGGCTAAGGATAGAGAAGGGGGGCGAAGGATAAGAGCCGGAGGGGAGCGCGAGCGGCGCACCGAGGAGCAGAAGCGGAGAGAAAGGTAGTTCCCGGGTTGATCACGCCAAGA